AGAAGAAGAAGAAGAAGAAGAAGTAGCATATGATGTAGGTGAAGGTGGCGATGGAGATGCTGAATCAGACAGGGTACGAACTCGACGTTACGCTGTTTGGAGGAAGTTTGCAACAAGCTATCTAAACAAGTTGCGTGTATTTTTTTCTGCTCCATCAAGACTTCGTGTTTTACGTGAAGTCCACAACGTAGTCGAGGACGAGGAGGTAAAACTCAAAGGCATCATTGAAATTCGGTGGACGTCATCCGAAGAAAGTGAGTTTTTTAGACTTTATTATTCTGGTTTTGCGTAATGCTCATTATTTCAGATGCCATCTATAGCTTCATGAGAATCAAGCATGTGTGGATCGCATTACAACAGATCTCTCTGAGTGTTGAGAGATCTAATCAGGAGCGCATGAAAGCGGCCTCGTTTCTGCGCGTGGTCAAATCACTGAAGTTCTGCAGATATATGGTTTTCCAACTGCAGATTTTGGGACAAATTAGCGTTTTATCCAAAGAAGCCCAGGTTAGGCTCTTGTTACAAGGTGATGAAAATGCTAACATTTGGTTCAGAGTGAAGCGACATTACTATGGAAGGCAGACAGAGACCTTGATGAGATGCTCCAGCATTTAAATGACATGGCAGAACGTCCTACCTACTACGTAAAAACGAGGCCATTCCTGCAAGAAGTGCTATGCAAGCCCGTAACTGATAGAGGGCACTTCCGACGGAACGCTTTGGATTCCCGAGATTGTGAGAGATGGTGAGCTTTGTATTTATTTTTCCCAAACTTTCGTAAATTATTCACTCCCAGGTTTTGGAATGGTTGGCAGTACGAGGGATATTTGGTTCAAGAAATCCAGTACAAAATAAGGCACGACACGCTTGAGTCGATGTTCAACAGAGAAGCAGGAGGGTTCGAGATAGACGAGGAACAAGCCCTTCTAGACAATATCGCTGGAGAATTGAACGCTGAGCGAGACAACCTCATACACTGGCTGAGGAACCCCCAAAATTTCCCTGCTTTCAATGAGGAGGTTACTAGAAGATCTATTAGTGAGCTCAAAATCAGCGAAGACTTTCGACGTGCTTCGTTCACGAACATGGATCACGCTAAAAGAACTTTGCTTGTGACCAACGTAGGTGGTGCTCTTAGAAGTCGTTTGGAGTACGAGCGCAATTCTGTTCTCTATGCGATTTCGGGTTTCTCGCCCAAAAGTCTTCGAAACTATAACGCAGATGAGAAGAGTACACGTGATGTAGTTTCCTCCTTTTTTGGTTATCCAAGTCTGGAGGAGGATGTCCAACAATTATCACGTCAGCTGAGCCGACTACCAGCAGAGCAGAGAAGAGAGTTTGACAAGGCTGAAAAAAAATGCAATATTTCCTTCCCGTCCTCCGCAGTTTCATACGGTCTGGTCCAACTCGAATCACTTATCGCCGAAGTCTCTTAAATCTGCTAGCAAA